CATAGTATGTATAATACTATGCAAGCTTCATTAAAGCATAGGGTGAAAAATTGAAAATAAGATTAATTATACACGTCAGCAATGTACAAGATTAATTATACACGTCAGCATGCAATATGAACAGTATCTATGCATGCAGTAATATGCAATGAAAAGATTGTACACGTCAGCAATGCGCAATGAATAAAATTAATTATACACGTCAGCTCATCAAACGAGATTTAAGGAGGGGCCTGAAGGGCAAAAATAGCTGAGCTTAGAAGCAAGCATGTCTTTGGAAGAGCCTACTTCTTCACCACCCCAAGTTCTTGTTACTGGAGCCTCTGGTTATGTAGCATCACATCTTGTTCAACACTTGCTCGTTGGAGGTAAAGTTAAAGTACGAGGTACTGTACGTAGTCTGAAGAATGAGTCCAAGAGTGCCCCATTGATGAAACTGGTACCAGATGCAAAGTATCCACTGGAACTAGTTGAAGCTGATTTACTTAACGAGGAATCATGGATAGAAGCAGTTAAGGGATGTGACTATGTGTATCACGTAGCATCACCAATTATTCGACTGGGAGCCACAGTTTCAGATGAGCAGAATGAGATCATAAAGCCAGCAGTAGATGGTACACTGAATGTACTTAAAGCTTGTGTTGCAGCTGGGACTATCAAACGTGTCGTAATCACCAGTTCCATTGCTGCTATTTCTGGTGGATTGTTAATTACAAAAGATACACCATACACTGAAGAGGATTGGGTCGATGACTCGTTAATTCACGGTTATGAGAAAAGCAAGGTACTAGCAGAAAGAGCTGCTTGGGATTTCGTTGAAAAACTTGATAAAGACAAGAAATTTGAGCTTGCCGTTGTCAATCCCTCTATAATATGGGGTCCTCCATTGACAAAAGCCTCAGCAGAAACACCTTCCGTTGATGCTTTAAAGAAAGTTCTTACGAAAGAATTACCAGCTCTCATTCATGTCAGCATAGCTATGATCGATGTGAGGGATCTTGCTGCCATTCACGTTGCAGCAATGGAGACTCCAGAGGCAGCAGGCCAGAGGTACATTGCAAATGCTGACCACATCTGGTATAAGGAGGCAGCTGACATGATAGCTGAAGAATTTGGTCCTCAAGGCTATAAGACAACAACTTATGTAATGCCTAAATTTCTTGTCGCCATTTTTAAAGTTTTTAACAGCATTTTGCGTCAAGCCTATCCGGCGATCGGAACCGAAATAAAGTACGACAATACCAAGATGATATCTCAATTAGGAATCCAGCTACGGGATTCTAAAACAACCATCATGGATACATGCTATGGATTGATTGAGATTGGAGCTGTCGAGAAGAAAGAGAGGTACAGGGGACCTCCTAAAGCAGAAAGCATGCACTTAGATCTAAAGCAAACAGTTCAAAATTGACATTAATAGTACACCAATTCAGTATTTTTATTTTAATTATTAAAGTAACTGTTGTTCATGTAGTCTTGTGTTTATGTATTGAATATTATTATTAAGCTGCTGCAGGAAAATACGTGACTTGCCTCAATTCAAGAATGTTGATACGTTTATTAATATTTATCAGCGTGGGAGGATAAACAATGAATAACATGTCCAGCCGGCCGCCCAAAAACTGCAGAAAATAAAGATGTCTTTGGAAGAGCCCACTTCACCACCCCAAGTTCTTGTTACTGGAGCCTCGGGTTTCGTAGCATCACATCTTGTTCAACAGCTGCTTGTTGGAGGTAAAGTTAAAGTACGAGGTACTGTACGCAGTCTGAAGAATGAGTCCAAGAGTGCCCCACTGATGAAACTGGTACCAGATGCAAAGTATCCACTGGAACTAGTTGAAGCTGATTTACTTAACGAGGAATCATGGATAGAAGCAGTTAAGGGATGTGACTATGTGTATCACGTAGCATCTCCACTCCCTAATCTGGGTACACAAATTTCTGACGAAAACATTCTCATAAAGCCAGCAGTAGATGGTACACTGAATGTACTTAAAGCTTGTGTTGCAGCTGGTACTGTCAAACGTGTCGTAATCACCAGTTCGGTTGCTGCAGTTTCTGGTGGTTTTATAGCTCCACGGGACACGCCATACACTGAAGAGGATTGGGTTGATGAATCGACAGTTCCTGCATATGAAAAGAGCAAGGCACTTGCAGAGAAAGCTGCATGGGATTTTGTAGGCAAACTTGATGAAGACAAAAAATTTGAGCTTGCAACAATTAATCCATCTTTCATTATTGGTCCTCCATTGACGCTTGCGACATCAGATGGGTTCTCTCTTGGTTCCGTTAAGAAAGTCTTTACAAAAAAGGTTCCTGCCATTGTTCACGTTAGCATGGCAATGGTTGATGTCCGTGATGTTGCAGCTGCTCACATTGCAGCAATGGAGACTCCAGAAGCAGCAGGCCAGAGGTATTGTGTCGACTCTGGTCGAAATCTCTGGTGGAAGGAGGTAGCTGACATTATGACTGAAGAATTTGGTCCTCAAGGTTACAAGCCGGCCTCTTTTGTAATGCCTAAGATTGGTGTTGGTATTTTGAAGTTTTTTGATGACACGTTGAAACGAGTGTATCCAATGATTGGGAAAACGGTAACGTTCAACAGCGCAAAGATGAGATCCCAACTAGGCATTGAACCACGGGATCCTAAAATAAGCATCATTGATTCGTGCTATGGATTGATTGAGATTGGAGCTGTCGAGAAGACACCATTGTATAAAGGACGGACTGATGATGAAAGCAAAGGAGATGCCAAGCAAGAAGAAAAGACTAAGGAATAAAACAGCTGATGGCTGTTTCATTAATAAAAATTACATTACGTCATTTTAAATTAACTTTTAATACATTTACATAGTTTAGTGTTCTGTCTCATTTTTTACTTTTATTTTCTTATGCAATTGTTAAAAGTAAAAGTATAGCTACTTGCAGTTAAGACTAAGTGACAGTGTACATTATATAGAGCTGGTCAGCTGGATAGTAAATGCAGTTTAAAATGGCTCCAAATCACCCCAAATTTTTATTAGCTTTCTGATACATATTGATGTCCTTATGTTGTGTAGAAAGTTTGAGCCAATTCCGACTTCAATTTTTGAGTTACGGCCATTTTAAGAAAACGCCAAAAATCTGAAAAATACCCAAGGCTATAGCCCATGGTTTTTTTCCAAAAAATGGCTCCGAAATCACTCAAAATTTTTATTACATTTTCTGATACATATTGATGTCCTTATGCTGTGTAGAAAGTTTGAGCCAATTCCGACTTCAATTTTTCAAGTTACGGCCATTTTAAGAAAACGCCAAAAATCTGAAAAATACCCAAGGCTATAGCCCATGGTTTTTTCCAAAAAATGGCTCCGAAATTACCCCAAATTTTTATTAAATTTTCTGATACATATTGATGTCCTTATGCTGTGTAGAAAGTTTGAGCCCATTCCGACTTCAATTTTTTGAATTACGGCCATTTAAAAAGTAGGCCAAAATATGAAAATTACCCCGTACTATATAGCCCATGGTTTTTTCCAAAAAATGGCTCCAAAATCACCCCAAATTTTTATTAAATTTTCTGATACATATTGATGTACTTATGCTGTGTAGAAAGTTTGAGCTGATTCCGACTTCAATTTTTCGAGTTATGGCCATTTTAATAAAATGCCAAAAATCTGAAAAGTACCCTGTACTATAGCCCATGGTTTTTTCCAAAAAATGGCTCCGAAATCACCCCAAATTTTTTATTACATTTTCTGATACATATTGATGTCCTTATTAAATGCAACAAAATATTAGTTTATAAAATAGATTTATTCAACATAATTAAACAATTTTAGCAACAATGTGATATGAATTTAAAGAAGACTATCAGTTAGAATACATGTACTAGTCCATAGACAAATGTCCACAATAAGACATATGTAAACAATCCGCCAAAAACTCCGTCCGTAAGCATAGCATATCTCGACTGGAAGTACTTATTCCATTTAGAGCCCACTTTAATCACGAGTAAACCTGACATGACAAAAGAGTAAATGAGGTAGAAACCAAATCCGTATATTCCCGTCAATCCCAGTATTCCTGCAGTCACCCCAGCTATGACAGATATGCTAGTCCGTCCATATTCTATCAGAGAGGCATTATGTCTCACTGCCCTCTCGTTCTTTATGGTAGTCTCTCCCAATAACTTTTTACCATCATGAGTTTCCATGTTGAGGAGGCGTGGCAAGGGGTGGGGCTCCCGTTTTGTTATACGGGAAATTACTGGAATTGACGGGTAATGTCTAAAGCCAAGAGAGGAGGAAAAGTTTCAGCTCACAGTTCTCACCAATCCTTCTCAAGAGGAGGAGGAGGAGGAGCGAGTGTTGAGATAAGCCCAACTATAACTAACATGCTGGAAGAACTTAAGCAGCTTGTGAAGAAGACTCAAGTGGGTGTGGTCACAATTAATGAATATTAATTAATTACTTATTTTAATTGAAATTATTCTTATTGTCATAGGAAGAACGAACAAAAGGTGAAAGTACAATTCTTACTATCAATAAGACTCACGACAAAATGAAGCAAGAGGTCCGAAGTAAGTATAATGCATATTTTTAATATTATTTTATTAATTCTAGTTTCGCCATATTTTAAGCAAAAGTTAGTGGGTTTGTACACGAATGCATTAGCAGATGCAAAGAATGAAGTTGGGTATGTAGTACATGTGTCTAATGTCAAATCAATATGCACCCTCTTGTCACAGAATGCTTGACCAAGCACTTAACAAATTAGCTGAAATTAAACAAGAGGTTGGTGAGAAGAAAGGTGAGATTTGTAACATTATTATTTTTTATTAATTATTATTTAAATAGCTCGTTCAACTGCCATCCCTCGTAACATTGAAGACGTGACAAAGTAAGATATTATGACATTACATTGATCATGTGACTGTCACGTGACATACAGGAGGACAGGAACTATGAGACGTGGAATGTTGATGACTGTACTACAGCAGTATGCACTGGAGCAGCCAGTATGGAGAGGAAAACCAGGAGAGAAGTAAGAGAGAAAGCTTCTCTTAAGCCCAACATACACTATGCAGCAAATGCTGCATAGTGTATTTTGGGCTTAAGGGACTCTCTTACTTCCTCTCTCTCTCTCCCCCAGCCCCCCACCATTATGTGGCTGCACACCTGCTGAAGATAAGTATAAGTGTCAGCCTGAGGATCAAGTTGCTGCTCGAGTTAACACTGATACCAATGAAGATGAGCAATGGATACTGGCAGTTGTGGTGTCCTACAATTCGCATTACCACAGATATATTGTGGATGATATTGATGAAGAAGGACACATTGAGAAAAAGTGAGACATAAAAACTTTGATGGAGGAAAAGAGAAGGAAAGAGGAGGAAATGTATTACAAGTTTCTTTTTACAGACAGTATCAAGTTAGTAAAAGAAGAGTTATTCCTCTTCCAACATGGAAGGCTGATCCTTCAACAACTCCACAGGCACTATTCAAACCTGGACAGGTATGTGTGTGTGTGTGTGTCTGATGGTATAAAGTGAGGAATAAAATATTTTCTCTGCAGAAAGTCCTAGCTCTTTATCCTCAGACAACTTGCTTTTATCCAGCAGTCATTCACGAGCAACCAAAAACAGTAAAGACTAAAAGAAAGAGAGAGGAGAGAGAGAGTAGAAGAGGAGAGAGAAAGGAGAGTTGGAAATGAGAGTGGTAGCTCATTTTGCTGTCCTGCAGTACATGGGGTTGCATATGTTGTTAGGTAGAGGCAGAGTATTCAGTATTATTTGAGGACAACACTTACTTTGAAGGTTATTCTCCTCCACTTGATGTACCCCAGAGGTATGTCCTCCCAATGAGAGAAACTAGAAGAAGACAAGCTCAATGAAACAGGAGCAGGCATTCACTTCACTTCATTTCATTTCATTTTATTTGTTTTTATAAATAATATACTTGGAGATTAAAGCAAGAGTAGATCTTGATAAAAGTTATTATCATTTGGGAACTGTTTTAGTAATGTATAATTCCTAATCCTGTCTCACAACATTTGTTGCCGTACTTTGATCTTGTAAGCAAGATTTCCCCCAAGAATAGAAAATTATTTAGCCTGTTCTATTCTTGGCAGCATAGTATGTATAATACTATGCAAGCTTCATTAAAGCATAGGGTGAAAAATTGAAAATAAGATTAATTATACACGTCAGCAATGTACAAGATTAATTATACACGTCAGCATGCAATATGAACAGTATCTATGCATATGCAGTAATATGCAATGAAAAGATTATACACGTCAGCTCATCAAACGAGATTTAAGGAGGGGCCTGAAGGGCAAAAATAGCTGAGCTTAGAAGCAAGCATGTCTTTGGAAGAGCCTACTTCTTCACCACCCCAAGTTCTTGTTACTGGAGCCTCTGGTTATGTAGCATCACATCTTGTTCAACACTTGCTCGTTGGAGGTAAAGTTAAAGTACGAGGTACTGTACGTAGTCTGAAGAATGAGTCCAAGAGTGCCCCACTGATGAAACTGGTACCAGATGCAAAGTATCCACTGGAACTAGTTGAAGCTGATTTACTTAACGAGGAATCATGGATAGAAGCAGTTAAGGGATGTGACTATGTGTATCACGTAGCATCTCCACTCCCTAATCTGGGTACACAAATTTCAGACGAAAACATTCTCATAAAGCCAGCAGTAGATGGTACACTGAATGTACTTAAAGCTTGTGTTGCAGCTGGTACTGTCAAACGTGTCGTAGTCACCAGTTCGGTTGCTGCAGTTTCTGGTGGTTTTATAGCTCCACGGGACACGCCATACACTGAAGAGGATTGGGTTGATGAATCGACAGTTCCTGCATATGAAAAGAGCAAGGCACTTGCAGAGAAAGCTGCCTGGGATTTCGTTGAAAAACTTGATGAAGACAAGAAATTTGAACTAGCCGTAATCAACCCAACTGCTATACTGGGCCCTCCATTGACAAGAGCCACAGCAGATGCAGCATCAGTTGATGCTATGAAGAAAGTTCTTACAAAGGAAGTACCAGTTCTCATTCACATCAGCCTAGCAATAATTGATGTGAGGGATCTTGCCGCCATTCACATTGCAGCAATGGAGACTCCAGAGGCAGCAGGCCAGAGATACATTGCAACTGGTGAGAATCTCTGGTGGAAGGAGCTAGCTGATATTATGGCTGAAGAATTTGGTCCACAAGGTTACAAGCCCACATCTTATGTAATGCCTAAATTTGGTGTTGCCATTATGAAAGTTTTTAATAGCTTCCTCCGTCGCATCTATCCAATGATTGGAACCGAAATAAAATTCAGCAATACCAAGATGATATCTCAATTAGGAATCCAACCAAGGGATCCTAAAACAACAGTCATTGATATGTGCTACGGATTGATTGAGATTGGAGCTGTCGAGAAGAAAGCAAGGTACAGAGGACCTCCCAAAGCAGAGAACACATAAAGCAAAAAACTGAAGAATAACTAAGAATTGACATAATTAAATTAGCTACATAATTATTGCTAATATTAATTGTAGTTGAGTTCTCCCTTGTACTCCTTTAACAAAGAATCCATTGGATATTGCTTGAATGGCAACAAGCTGTTATGACAGAAGTTTGTAGTTGAGGCAACACAAAAAGTGCTTAGTGTATAAGTAACAGCATTTCATTGAATAGTAAAACTATAATGGACATTACTGAAATTCCTAAAGTTGCTAAGATCATGTTTCACAAATGAAAAGGTATGGGGAAAAGTAATATGAAAGTCCTAATAAATAAAGCAAAATAAAATGGTACAAAAATAAGGACAAATAGCAGGACATTTTTACAAAAATTATAAGCCATGTACACCTGGTATCATGTAAACTGGTCTAATTAGACAGCAATAATTAATAACAATAATAATTATTATTATTGTTATCAGTTAATTTCGCCCCATTTTATGACAATAGGTGCAAAATCAAATTCATCAGGATGGCCAAGAGGTGGAGTGTCTTGAAAACCTGACGTACTCCATTTAAAAACAGGTTGTTGAGAGTGGGTGGGGCCTGATGTTGCCAGGCAACTCAAACTCTTCACCATCTCCGAATTAGTCAACTACATGTATAGAGAATGAAATAATTTTTCAAAATTCATAAATATATTACAAATTTGATATTTAAAAACCTTATTATCAGTTCCACCATGACAGCGTCTCTTTAGAGCTGGTATTGGATAGGTGCCATTAGCCGGATTGAGATCTGATCTTGCTGAAATGGCATATTCACCAGAATAAGGAGGAGTGCAGTTACAAGCAGAGAGAGGGTCAAATTGGAAATTATTATACCTAAATCAAAAAATTACACGTTATACATGTAATGTAAAATTTCATTATTAACGACCTGGGGGCGTAGCCCCCAGGTCGTTCCTATAATTGATTTCAACCACGTGCGATGTTTGTATATATATATATATATATATTTGTATGTCCACACTTACATTTCTTCTATACATGTTGTATTGGAGAAATAACAAGCCTTAGCAACCACCCGCCCACGCTCCTACGTAGTGGGTGTGGTCACGGCAAACAAAATGGCGGCTTACACATGGGACAAAGTTAAGAGCTTTCTAACAGCAAGGGAAGATAAAGATACTGTTTAAAAACTTCTCTAGAAGCATTTGAAGGTAGAGAGAACCTCTATAAGTCTTAATAATGACCAAGTTGTACTTGCAAGGTGGTGAAATCAATTATAGGAATATTTTTTACACTGTTACGCTTGTTTTGTCTAATTGAACCACGCCCACCATATTAATAATTTCTATTGCCACATTCACCATTTTAATTGTTATTTTTGGCCACGCCTACCTCATTAATGCATGGAGTGAGTCCATATCCGTCACTTGAGAATGATTGCGTGCAAATATAAGTGCCCTGGCCGTTTTATCGTGAGAGAAGAAGTTACCATATTGTTTCAAGGCCCCGGGATATCCGGACAAATTAAATATCTCAGTATAATAACTATTAATATATTAATTACTTTACTGGTTAATTAAAAGGGGTGGAGCTTACGGAACATTATAACTGGCCCAGTAAGACGTTGATTGCAAGACTTTAGTTTGATCATCGTAAACGATAGTACCACTGGAAGAATAATTGTACTAATAATGAGGACTAAGACCTCGTAACTCACGGTATTTGCTCCAGAACCCACAGAAGGTCGCTAGATGGTAGAGCCTGACCAGGAGTAAAGTGATTGTAATTTACTATCATCCACTGGTTGTTGTAACTAAATAACATAGAAAATAAGTAGAGGTGTGTATCAGAAAACGAAAATGTTATACAAATGGAGGAGAATTCTCTCCTTTTTAATTTTGGAACAACTTTAAAAATTCGTGAAAAATCCAAACTTGATCAGAATAATGTATAATTATAATAAAAACAATGATACAAAGAGAGAGAAGTACTAGTACATTATACTTACGTTCCACTATTAAAAGGTTTGAATGTTTTACACCATTCTTCCCCGCTGCTAGCCAACCTGTTAGATACCATCACTCTTACTGGCTCTAGCACAGACTGTGGGGAAATGAAATCCCACAAAGTTTTGTTCATAATCCCATTGGTTGTTTCCATAGTAACCTACAAAACATAAGACATTCGGCTTTATTAGCTCTCTCCTTACGAGTCGACTGCTCATGATGTAGTAGTCATCTTCACTCTGTAACTTCCCAGGGTATGATGAGAAGGAGATAGAACTGCCGGGAACTGAAATAATAGAGGCAAAACAACATAAACAAGTAGTTTTGCATAAATAAACTTAATGTTAAAATTATAGAGCTAATTTGAAAAAAAATTATACAGTACATGCCTATACTCTTTTAAGCCCCTACTACAATTACTAATAATGATAATAAATTAAAGACAAACACACAAATATACACATTCTTACTCCTTCCTCCATTGATCAACCTGTACGGCAGGTCATACAACTTGAAGACTCTCAGCATGGTTTGATACTCAGACCATGTGTCGTGGGTTGTGAACAAGTCCTCGTTATTTGGAAGGACCTTGATAATAGCCGAGCAAGATCCGTCACCTAAAACCCTGTGAGAGTCCGACCCGGTGAAAGCTTCTTGCAAATCCTCCATGTCGCAATCATACTGCAAGTAACTTGAGAGAGAGAGAGAGAACAGGATACATTAGTAATATCATTTTTAAGTATGTACTACTAATGAAGTTAATTCTGCCAATTCAATTTAAAACTACTACAAAAGCTGCATAAAAGTGCCCATAAAAGTGTCAAAAATCATGCATGTACATGATAATTCTATTTTCAAACTTACAAGAAAGCATTGGGAGGGAGAGTGGGGTTCTTCTTGCTAGAATAATAGCCTTTCTCCAGTCCTTCTAGCTGTCGCAAGTATAAATTTATCTAATGTATAATATAAATAATTATAATAATCAATTAGCCTAATACATGATGATAAAATAGATATTTTTCCAGAAAGGAAGAAGCATAAACAAACACAGTTGCATCACCACAAAACTCAGCAAAAAGAAACTGAAACTTGGTATATATAAATGTTTTCAAAAGCAATAATACTCAAAAATGAAAATAGCTAAAGCCTTTTTGCCTTATAAGTATATACATGTACAGGATGACTATCACCATACTTGCTTCCAATAGTCCGACTTTGGATTGCTAGCAATGTTATCTTTTAAAAACTTTATGTTAGAGTTGAGAAACTCTTGCAGTTTGTCACACAGAGATGACTTCTCTTTGCATACAGTGCCCAGTGTGTTAGTATATGTCATGTATATTAGCTCTCCAGTGTGAACACCTTCAGCATATCCAGCCATGTAGGCCATCTCTTCATCAGTAGTGAGGTCAGGATGGCCATGTATCTCCAGCAGTGACCAACTATAGAATCGAAAGAAAAAAAATTCACAACTTAAATTGCTAAAAATTTTCGAACACTATTTCAAAAAATCAGCTTGCATGCAAGCTGGAAGCAAGATATCTATCTGTGAGCTAGTCTTCAGGAAAAAACTTCATGCTTTGCAAGATTTTATGATAATTTGCAATTCTTTTTTTAGCCTCACCCAGTTTCATTAACGGTGTTATTAAAAGTTGAGACAAGTGCAGCCTCTGGTTGATTGCCTTCCACAATCCTGAACTTCCATGGGGCGTCTCTGATGACAGAGATGGTGGAAGAGTCTCCAAAACAAGGAGAGAGAAGGAGAGAAACAAGAAGATAAGAAAGAGCCAGCATTGCTGCGGATCACGTGTTATCAATATGCGGATAGTAATACGGAAAATAAACTTAAATTTAGACGAAACATGCACGAGAAAAACGGAGAGTGACCCGGAAACACGCACTGGCCGACGCCCTTTCCAAAAAGGGGATACGCCTCTTTCGAGCAACAATGGCTGCCTCGAGTGAGTTGATACTTGTTATTTTTTATATCTTTATCATTTTGTTGATAATAATAACGCATTGTATTCCACTCTGTAGACGAAGCAGCAAAACTCCAGCAGCACTTGGAGCTGCTAAAAGAGCAGTATGTCCGATTGCAGCAAAGGCACAGCGACCTTGAGCAGAAATACACTCAGGCTGTAGCGTCTTCTGGCTCCGTGGGTCCGGATCACTTTGTAACTAAACTAGTTGGTATGGTGACAGGTCTCTATGAGAAGCAGTTATACAGGTACAGGGGATTTCACAAACAAGAAATTATAATTTAATACATTAATTTCTCTATTTCTCAGTGATATAACGATACAATTAGCCGATCGCTCGTTCCCTGGTCATCGTTTTGTCCTTGCTACCCGTAGCTCCTCTTGGTCTCCATCAGATGAGACACTTGGTAATTCTGATTCCCTTGACCTGAGTCACCTCTCGCCTCACGTTGCTGTCCTCTTGTTAAGATGGGTCTATACTGATGCTGTGTTCTTGCCAGCAGATCAAACAGCTGTCATTGAGTTACTGAGCGCCACTAATCAATATCAACTTGGTCAACTTAAAGAAAAGTAAGCTAATGCATTTATATAACATGTACCTCTACATGTACATGTATAAATCCACTCTTAATAGTGTGAACCATTTCTACTAATACATGTACATTTAATTGATATAGTTTTTTCTCTTTCATTCACATGTACATGTATAGTATATTATGTGTCACTTTAATATATCATTTAATGATCCCTAATCAAATTTGATCACACAACTTAATGATGTACATTATACATTATGCATCTAAATGTACATATACAATATACAATATCTGTGCATGTACACAGTATGTTTTGTTAGCAGTTGCTTTGTGTACATAAAGTACTATTTGAGGTATTTGTAATTTTAAACTGTGTGTGTAACAAGCTACTGTATGTGTACATCTTAATCTATTTTTAACCCTCTCTCTCCATCTCTCCCTCTAGGTGTGAGCAGTCATTGATATCGTCAGTGACAGTTCGTAATTGCATTAGGTTATATCAGACATCAGAGGAGCACAGTGCCAGCGAGCTTAAGAGATACTGTCTCCAAATTATCTCAAACCACTGGGTAAGAAAGAGACAGAGAGAGAGAGACTGTTGTATTAATGATACCCATATTTGCATTACATCTTGTAAACAAGACATGACAGCTGCTACTAGTCCTGTTGCCTTGTTAATTCAGTAAAACCTTGTTTATACCAGTGAATGTTAGTAAAACCTTGTGAATGTCAGTAAACCTTTGTATATGTTATTACCCCAATAGAATGACCTTGATACTGCTGATTTTGCTGATCTGAGCGCTCCGTTGTTATATGATATGTTTAAAGCTCATTCTAAGTATCCGCTCCACCTGGCTATACAGCATCAAAGAGAAGACGTTGTGTTCATGTTCATCATCGAACACAACTCTCAAGTTAGTTACTCAAAATTACGTTCTATGGTACTTTCTCTATTTTTCAGTTGCCTCGGAAACTTGATGAGTTAGACGATCGTGGTACCATACCCCTGAACCTAGCGCTAATCAACAAGAACGAGGGTATAGCTAATACTCTGGTATCCAATCGCTGCAATCTTGATGTGACTGATAAAGATGGCAACACTCTCTTACACCTTGCCATCGCTCGTGGTGATATATTCGCCGCTACTTTTCTCATCAAGAACGGGGCCAGCACGATACTCTGTAAAAGGGAGGGACAGGCCACGCCCCTTCATTTAGTGGCACAGTACAACCGGGCGGAGTCCGAGCGATACATATTAACAAGGTTGATTAAAGGGGCGGGGGCCCCTGCTGACGATCTGGTGGAGATTGGCAGCCTATTGCTCCAGTATCATGCTAATCTTGATGCTCAGGATAGTCAAGGATATACTCCGTTACATAGAGCAATAGAGAAAGGAAATACGCCAATTTTTGAGATATTCCTCGAGCACCAAGTGTAAGTATTGTATAATAGTATTGTTTTAATTTTGGTAGGATTTTATTTATTGATTTTACTGTAAAAATCAGTTTTAAATTTGGAGGTTTTTATATCGACAGTTTTGATTTTAATGCAGAAGGATAAACTTGTGCTGAATTAAAGTGCTACAAGCATTTGTTGTTATTACAGTCTCTCTTTTCAACAATGGATGTTATTATTATGTCTTCTGTTGTCTTGTACTTTACCCTTTCCTTTCTTCCTTTCTAGTATTAATCTTGAGTTGCGTAATAACTCTGGCTCCACTGCGCTGTGGCTCGCTCTAACTCAGCTTAACTCCACTAGAGGGGAGAGTGATCGTTATGCTGCTCGACTCATAGAAAGAGGTTCTACGCCAAACGCAATCGACAGCCTAACAGGGAACAGTCTCCTTCATCAAGCGGCTTTAGAGTCCAACGAGAGGGCGGCCATTTTCCTTGTCTGTCATGGAGCTAACGTTGATCATGTTAATCATCAAGGAGAGAGTCCTATGCACGTAGCAGCTGCCATTGGTCTACATAACCTCATTCAAGTTCTACTCCAATACGGTGCCGATCCTAATCTTCAGACGAATCTAAAAAAGGCTCCACCTAGCATTTCGATACCGGTCAAGGTTGTCCCGGCTCAGACTCCGCCCATTTCTCATAATTCGTCTGATCTCATAAGCCCCACCTCAACGCTAGGAGCCCTCTCAGTTCTTAGTAACATAGCCTCCACTTCCCCTTCTCTTGGAGGAGGAAGGGAAACTGATAGTTTTGCTTCTCAGCAGTTGCTGCAGTTGAATTCCTTATCTACAGCTGCTAGTTGTGATACGTCTCCTGTGATTGGTCGGGCTGCAGCTTCTGCTGTTAATAGTAACCCGTTTGGTGATGACAGTGATGAGGAGACTGCCCCACCCACAAGAACACACGGATATGGCTTTGTACCATCTGGCCATAATTCACCTCGCATGTCACCGGTAATATTATTAATAATATATTAATTAATAAATTAAAAAGAGAAAAGTACTTGTAACTGTAATAATAATTTATACTATATAAATTAATTTTGAAATATTTTAGGTACCCCCAGCTAGACAAGCCCCGCCCCCAGCCCTTACCACTGATCCTGGTACGGAATTTATTGAGGAACCCGAACCGTTTGACATTAACATGGACCCTGGACAAAGGACAGCACTACACCTTGCCATAGCACATAAACATCATGAAGTGGTTAAAGTGATGCTTCAATATAAAGGCAAGTATTATATTTATTATTATTATTATTATTATTATTAATTTTATATTATTATATTTCTGACTCCTCCCTTTTCCCGCCCACACAGAATCAGGTAGTACGAGTGGTAAACTCGAGATATCTCTAAACGTCGGTCTAAAAGACGGTGGGGATGAGACCCCACTGAGTCTCTCACTGTGGACGAACCAGCTGGAGGTAGCACTTAACCTGTTAGATGCTGGAGCAGACATAGAGTGTCAGAGAAGATCAGATAACATGACGTTATTGTATCAGGCCATAGTGAGAGAACAACCATCTGCTTCGTTGTTCCTTCTTGATCATGGATCGAACTTTAGGAAAAGGTGCAGATGTCATTTTATTCATCTATTTATTTATTTATTCAATTATTTATTTATTTGTTTTGATTGTTTAATGTACTGTGTATGTTGCATTGAATTGGTCTTCACAATATTTCCATGTGCCATGCATGTGCTTTACACATTCTTCCTCCTCCCCCAGGACTAGCAATAATGAGACTCTACTGCTAGTGGCCATCAAGCATCAGCTGGAACCTGTTGCTGACCGACTCTGTGATCTCGGAGCAGAGGTAGGCGTGGCTGATGCCACCGGTAATAGTCCACTGTGGGTTGCACTAAGGAGCAGACAAGAATCAATAGCAGCTAAACTAGTAAGAAGAGTATTGATGTACAGTCTGTACATGTACATGTGCATGTATGATCATTGATTGTATCAATCAGTCTTCTTTTATTTTGTCTTTATTATTATAAATGTCATCCTTTGATGTTTTTCTCCTTTTTTCCCTCCCTCCCTCCCTCCCTCCCCCTCCCTCCCTCCCTCCCTCTCTTCCCCTCCCTCCCTCCCTCCCTCCCTCTCTCCCTCTCTCCCCCTCCCTCTCTCCCTCCTCCCTCCCTCCCTCCCTCCCTCCCCCCTCCCTCCCCCCTTTCTCCCTCCCTCTCTCCCTCTCAGATCACTCATGGTTGTGACCCCAATGCTTGGCACACAGCACCCGATGGGACGTCCCTCTCTCTCCTCCATCGTGCCATTATCCTCCAGGACCCACTCACAGCTTGCTTCCTAGTCAAATCTGGAGCTGACGTCAATAGTTCTACGAGACCTTCTGAGTCCTCCTCTGGTAGCACTGGGTTTTCCCCTCCTCTGCACATGGCCTGTCAGAGAGGACTGGACTCCATTGTACAGTGTCTTGTTGATCATCATGCTGACCCTAATGCTAAAGTAAAGACTACCATTTTAAGAAAACTCCAAAAATCTGAAAAATACCCAAGGCTATAGTCCATGGTTTTTTCCAAAAAATGGCTCCAAAATCACCCCAAATTTTTATTACATTTTCTGATACATATTGATGTCCTTATGCTGTGTAGAAAGCTTGAGCTCATTCCGACTTCAATTTTTCGAGTTACGGCCATTTTAAGAAAGTGCCAAAAATCTGAAAATTACCCTGTACTATAGTCCATGGTTTTTCCCCATAATACCTCCAATTCTTATTATATTCTTGTCCTATGCTACAAGTTCACAAGAATAAAAAACATGAAACTATTTGTTAACATTATCATTTGTACTATTGTAGGATTCACAGGGCTGTACTCCACTTCACGTGGCCATTACTACAAGGCATCCAAGTTGTGCTCAGATTCTGTTACAGCAACCTAGACTGGATCTATCGGTGAAGGACAATCGAGGGAGCACTCCATTTGCAGCTGCACTAGCTACTAAAGACAACGAGACTGGACTCGCTATATTGAAGAGAGAGCCAAAAGCCGCCGAACAGGTCAGGCAGTCTTCCCTCATTATAAATTCATTTCTTATTTCGTGCAGTTAATTTGAGTGGGTGGAGCCTGCCACTCCCCTTTTAATAGTTTTTCCTTGCATGTGTATTTTATCCATACATCTTGTTCTAAAATAAGCAATGAAAATGGGCTTAAACAAACCACTCTTTTGCAAAAAAATTTAATGGGCAATCAAACAATATTTTATTGGACAAATTTATAATTTTTTTATTCCTATGCAGATGGATAATAAAGGTCAGAATTTCCTTCACCTTGCTGTACTCAATCAAGACGTGGAGAGTGTCATTTTCTTGCTCAGTGTGGCAGTTGATGTCAATTCAAAGGTTCAGAATCCGACCCAGAACACTCCCCTTCATTACGCTATAAAAACTGGCTCAGAGATACTCGTCCGACACTTGGTAAGGGAAAGACCCTGTAATTAACTCGAGGGCCGAGCCTTAACTTCTGTATTCATCACCATAAAATTACTAAAATAAAAATTTCCAAAATAAAAGGACGAGCAAAGTTGTGTCCATTAAATCTAAAGAATTAATGACTTGGAACCTTATTTAAATGTTCGAGCATCAAAAATTGACAATCAACAGTATATTACTACTCAATTTTATTTCCTGCTTGTTTTTTCTGCTAGCTATTGGCAATGGCTAATGTGAAAGCTGTTGATAATCATAACAGAAGTGTCCTTCACTTAGCGGTAGAGGGAGACTTCTCAAGTATATTATCAGTGCTATTGGAGCACGGGGCTAACCCAGACCATGCTGATGAAGAAGGAAATAATGGTGGGTGACATATGAGGAATGATTAATGATTCTCTCCCTCCTTCTCTCTCTCTCTCTTCTTTCACTCTCTTTTCTCTCTCTCTCTCAGCTCTTCACGTTGCCATGCAGTTGGGTCATGAGAACTGTGTTAAAGTTTTACTAACCGACTCTGACATTAACCTAACAGCTGCTAACATGAGGTCTGTACTACCATACATTATACATTGTGTTCATCACATTCCCCCTCTCTCCCTTATCCCCCTCCTCCCTCTCTCCTTTATCCCCCTCCTTTAGAGGTCGTAATTGTCTACACATGCTCTCGGCTAGTCCAAAACACAATGCCTCCTCTCTCTTCCACCTCCTTCTCTCAGCAGCTGCCAAATTCCCAGTCAATACGGCCGATGAAGACGGTTATACTCCTCTCCTGTTGGCTTATGTTGCTGGTAGCAGTAGTCTTTGTGAAGGATTGATAGCAGCTGGGGCTCACCCAGGAATGTGTTCAAAACAAGGGCTGAGTATTTTCAATGCTCCCGTGGCAACCAAGCAGCTTCTCTTTAGAATTTTGGGTTAGTTATTGTCACCAGTTGACACCAAAACGGTTTCAATGTATAGTACGCCCACGCAAATAAGCAAAATAATTTGTTTTGCATGACAAGATATTACTATGATGACCCTGAAAAAGCATGTACATGTACATGTAGACGTCTTAGTACAATGAATGCCTGTGACGTTATGTTGTTTTATAGATCAGATTCAGTCCGAGCCTAGTTGGCTTGAGGGACAGTACTGTATGAACTGCTCTATGAAGTTTAATATATCCCACCGGAAGCACCACTGGTAATATAAATTATAATTTTAGAAAATAAGAGACTATGTCTTGTCATTAACATTTTCCTGTCTCTCTTTTTCTTTCTAGTCGTCACTGTGGTCGGTTGCTATGCAATAAGTGTACTTCCCAGCAGATGCCGATTGTTAAATTTGAATTGAACAAGTCGGTGAGAGTTTGTGAGGTTTGTGGTGACTCCTTCAAGATTAGCTCTATGCGGTGATTGGTTTTATAACTTAGCGCTTTAAACCCCTAGATTTGTTGTAATTATTATTGTTGCTGTTCTCTCCTTGCCAGATTATATAACCTCCTCTCATTTTTGAATGTAATAAAAAAATTGTCTGTGTTAATTATTATTATTATTATTATTATTATTATTATTATTATTATTATTATTATTATGGACACAAGATTTATTACTTCTCATTCGATTTATTTCCTTTTCATTAGTGAAATTATTATTATTATTATTATAACATTATTATTAGTATTGTCAATTATTAGTATTAATTATGATCCATTATATTAAAAACACACTTAATTGATTAATTAATACTTAACGAGATACAATATAATTAATTATAATAAAAACGACGACAACAATAATAAAATTTTTAAAAATTACCTTACATCTTTTAATTTGTACTTTTGTCCATGTGTAATGCGTTAAAAGCATCAGTAAAATCAGAATGAAGTTGCAGTGAATTGCTATGAGAAGTAGGAGGAGCAGACATCCCTTTGACAACTGACGTTGTATGGGTAGAAGGCAAATTGACAAATGGCTGAGACTGTCTGGCGTCCAAAGACGACTCCTCCTCTTCGTAATGAGATGGGGGTATGTCGTAATCGTCGCTCGTCTTTGACGAGGGGAGGAGTATGGGGGTGCGGTCTAGTGTACCGGGCGGAGACAATGTAGAGCGACCTTTCCCTGTGGGCGGGGCGATCGGACTGCTGTGAGGTTTGTTTGGGTTTATGATCGGGTACCGTGCAGCCTGGGGTTCCGGGGAAGGAGATTTTTGAACTATCATTCTTTTTTTGGGCGGGACTGGGGGTGCCTCCCCTGGGACGTCAACAAGCACACCGTTCTCCACGGTCACCTTTGGTTTTGAACGAATAGGGATACTGTCTTTATCCCTACTCACACGCGGTGAACCTTTCTTCTCTGACGATGACGTCCTCTTTCCCCCTTCTCTCTCCTTCGCACTATGAGACGTGAGGGAGTCGACTTGTTTCTGTAATTCCGATACGATCGTCTTGAGGAAGTCGTACGAAGCGTGAGAAATGGCTCTCATCCAAGACTGCATCTCTTCATCATCGTCGGCCATTAGTACGTGAGATTTTGGACCAGAAGTCCCTCCACTGCTACCACCTCCATCAAAGCATATCTCAAACCCGTGCTTCTCAGATGCAGAGGCCTGTACGCCACAGCCTTCCAAGACTAAGAGCCCTGCCGGCTCCCTGTCCTGCTTTCTCTCGTAGTAAAAGAGGAGGTTGCCTTTTAGGACGAACCAGCGTTTCTGGTAGCCTTTGACGTCGCTCTTGCGAGAGAGATAGCCTTCCTTGTCGACTGGGGAATCGCTTGCGGCAAAGCTGGCAACATTTTTCTCGTTAATCTTCATAGAGGAACTGAACATCTTTGTCTTTTAGGGTGGAATGAAGAAAGAAACTAACAAAGTTAATTAGTACATAAACCACGCCTGTGACCACACCTACCAAATAATGTGTTGCCATGGTAATTCATTAATAAACAGCAGTGAGCAACATGGCGACTGCTGTATCATCTCCTTCTCCTCTTGCTCCTCCTCGAACCCTCGGCTCTGGGAGACTAACGAGGTCGGGAAGGCCAAGACTAGTCCAACTATCATCAGTAGAAAGTAAGAAAAATATCTGTAGCATCGGGAGCAATCTGCCAATTTAATTTTGCTTGATTCCAACTTCAGCATGTAGTTCAGTCTTGTCATAATTCTTGTTCTATGTTACAAAAATACCTGCAATGTAACAATATGTACTATTTGTATTGGACCCCATAGGAAGTTATGAGGAATCCCGTGTCATTCTTTATCCTTCCCAAAAGAAACTGAGCTCAGTGGAGTCTCAGCGAGTCATGACGGTTGCCAAAGAGACGAGAAGGAAAGCAGAGGCTGCTCTACTCCTCATCCCTCACCTTTATGACCACCTCGATAGGTTCGCTGTAACCATGGGAACCGAACTAGTTGCTAGGATACGCGAGTACCATTATCTCTCCGAAGAGTATGAGAGATGCTATGAGAGTTTGATAGAGAATGAAATTGAGCCGGACTTTGCAACAAGTCGGAGTAAGTCCTCTCTACCAGACCACAAACTCGAGCCTATATCTTCAAATATGTCCCCAGAAGAGCTCCAGATACGATTCTTTTCTCTCCAACAGCAACTCAGAGACTCAACTAGGACCCTTCTCCGTGAGCTCCAGAAGTGTCCATCACTTGATGCTATTGCTAAAGAAGTGAAGGGGCCAGTCCCGCCAAGAGTTGATAATGTTATAGGTCAGCTTGGAGAGGTCGTCCGGCTAATGGAGGAGACACTCCTCACTACACACGAGGAAGAAGTGAAGAGAAATGAATATTTGAGTATCATTAGTGAGAGAAGACAAGTGGCTGAGACTGAAATTGCTAGTCTGCAGTCTGAGCTGCAACATGCCCGCAATGACTTGAATAAAGAAGTAAGAGAGAGAGAGAGATGGGAAATAATGCTTAATGAAAGGCTTGTTTAAGCTTTTTTTGAGCTAATTCTGCTAACCTTCATTAAACACTATGTTGTTAATATAGGTCCAGAAAAGAGAAGATCATAGAAAGAAACTTATCCATGAGATAAGAGTGGTCGACAAACTGGCCAAGGAAGTTCAGAAGAAGATAGAAGATGATACGAACAAACAGGAAGCAAACAGCCAGAAACTGCATGATGGCCAAGTGTCTAAAGCAAATGAGGAGATTGGGATTCTAAAGAAGACACTCCTGGAAGCTAAAGCAGCCAACAAAGAGATTGAATCGCAACTGAGAAAGGTACAAGGTTGTACATTAAATACATGTGCATGTCCACATTCTTGTTCATGTGAATGCACACTGTTATTCATTTTTCTTTGCATGCATGTTCTGTAAGAAACTTCAAACAATGCTGCTAATTTTTGGCAGCATTTTAACACCTTCCTCAATCATTTCAACACATTGTGATTGCATAGTGTCACATTGACACAATTGTACGTCTCATTTTACAGAAATCATTCAAGAGAGAGACAGAGGCTGACAACTGGATACAAAAATACGACAATGAGATTGGTGACTTGCAGGTAGACTAGTACAAGAACCAATGCTGATAATAATAATAATTCACTAATAATGACACTCTTTGTAGAATGAGCTGGAGACACTGACTGAAGAATTTACCGAAGAAAAGAAACAAGTGAAAGAAATAGGAGAGAGACTGGAGGTACATGAATCAGTGATAATGGAGTGTATATATATATATATATATATATTATGTAGTTCATTCTTCTTTACTTCAAAAGCAAACCTAATTCTTTCTAATTTTCTTATTTGCAGATTCTCTCAATTGAATATGATGCTGTTGTGAAGGAGCAAGAGGAAGAAAGAAAGAAAGCAGAAGAGGCTCAGCAACGACTAGCCTCAATGGTGAGGGCTGCTACTCAGATACAGTCTTGCTGGAGATCCTACAAGATCAGGAAAATGTTCAGCAAAGACGCTAAAAAAGGTGGAAAGAAAGGAAAGAAGGGCGGGAAGAAAGGAGGAAAGAAAGGAAGTGCTAAAAAGAAGAAAGCATAATTCATCGATACATGTTAACAGGGATTAACATAATGAAATATCTCTTTATCACAGACACATAATAACATCCTTGCACTTGATAATAACACGGTAACACCAATAATATTAATAATAAATAATAATAATAAATAATAAGATCATGTAAGTCATGGAGACTGTGTGTTACACAGTAACACAATCAAGAAACAACAACAACAATAAATAATAATAATACAAGAACAGTCAACATGTAATAATAATAAATAAAATTTAATTTATCATGCAACAGGGTTAGTTAACGGTAGCCGTGGCAATGGCTCAGTTCTAAATTGAGAAGGAGGATGAGTGAGTCCATTTAAACTACCCACAGAGACAGGAGAAGAAGAATTGTCCACTTTGGAAGACATTAAATATTTATTGAGCAGTTGCAGCGCTTTAGTTACGCTTCCTTCTGGTACCTAGAATGTTATGAGTAGCCATAGCAACAGAAAGTGGGAGGAGCTTACCAAGGTGTGGTCATTGTAAAAAGTACATATGTAGTAGGTGGATATGTCAGCTTGAGCTAGTGGAGCAGCGACCTGAGCTACTATGCCACACTCGTCTATAAAATAAAACAAAATTATTAATAAAATAAAAGAAAACAAAATTATTAATAAAATAAAAGAAAATATTAATAAAATACAAATACTTCAAATTTGTTCGTCTTTTTGATTTGTGTTTGTAATATCATGAAGGCTGAGTAAAATGATATTAGGCCTCGAATATTACTAATTTTTAATAAGCATTCACAGTATCATGATAGTAATAATTCATGTGTTAGTTAGTTGTAGAGGAAGCTTAGAAACTCAGGGATTTAGGATATAGCTGTTAAAAATAGACACGAACTTTAAATGTTAGTTTTTGTCCTTTGAATACTATTAGACCCTTGTGTTGTACCAGTAATTTAGCATTTGAAATTAATAGTATCAGCGAGATTGAATTTAAGGAAATATAATGATAATAGAATATAATTATACTTACCAAATCCAAGTGGTCCGTCTCCAATTGTGATGACTTTCCAATATGCTTCACTGCTGTACACGGAATCTTCCGGAAACTTGTCGATATCTCTGGCATCCAGTACCATTGATATGTCATCACTGATAATTGATAAGGAAAGGAAAACGTCATCTGACCTGTAACAACAAATTAAAGGAATCAAATACCACAAAGCTACTCACAAAAGTACAATGAACCATAATTTGACGATAATTACCAGCAAATATGCATATTTAGGGCACAAAACCTTAACAGACACACACACTTTTAAGTTACAAAATTAAGGTATAATAACACATTATTAGTAACGCGGTAGCGTTACTAAGTAGGATTCACCCCAAAACAATATGGCTGCCATGACTTTTGCAGCCTTGCTATACCGGGAAAACGAGCTCTTATGCTTACCAGACTTCTTAGAGGACCTTATCTTGACCAGAGGACTCCATTGGTACCACTAGCGTGGCTCTAGACCTTGTCTAAGAGAAAAGTCAAAAATCGGCAAAACGGCCGTTTTGTTCAGTCCACTTTTTTCATCTTCATCTCCTGTCAATCCAGTTGTCGGTGTGTATCTGAATATTGGCTAGTGCCAGAAGGCTAATTCTTACACCATTCTACTTCAACAGTCTATACGCAGGTCCATGTCCCATCAGATCATTCTCCAAGAAAGGAAGAAGTGATACTGTGACTGTTGGATCTGTCCAACTTACC